ATATATATATATATATATATATATATATATATATATATATATATATATACATACATACATGAAAACGAATAAATATATTAAAATATGGATGTTTGTGCAGTTCCTACATTAGACAAAAATGCTATAGTTAATAAGATACTTGATAAGTACTTTCCTTGGGGCCAAAAAGGTTTGAGCTGTTTTCTGTGAAGTCTGGTGGTCGAAAACAAATGTAATACATAGCTGATGCGCTGAAATTCTGTATGTAAAACTATTTCACTGGGAAACATTGTTTGCCAAAAAGCCCAAAGACACACCATCCCTCGAGCCTGTGTAGTGTGTCACTGGTCCTCGCAAGTTAAGCCTGCCTCTATTCGTCCTGCAGGCTTCGGAAACTCCCCCGACTCTGCACTGAAGACGGATGAGCAACGCGTGGCCCTGCTGCAGCGCTTCCTGGAAGCGCTGGGTGTGCGTGCGGCCGTGCTCCTGAGCCCCTCCATGAGTGGCCGATTTTCCCTGCCCTTCCTGGTGCAGCGTGGCACGCAGCTCCGCGGCTTCGTCCCCATTGCGCCCGTGGGCACGCGGAACTTCTCAGCGCAGCAGTACCAGGCAATCCAGGTGACTGTCACATCACACGTGTCACATTGGGTGCAGTCTCACATCGATGACCTCAAGCTGCTGTCTCATGTTGGTGACCTCAGCACGTCCTTTATTGTACTATTGCCTGAAGGTTCCTCTCTTAGTTCGGAGACATGGGGGGGGGTGCGGGGGAGGTGCCTGTCAATATGCGTACTTCACCATACTTGTGTTCTTGTGTACCTGTTTGATGTCATCTTTCATTGCTGAAGTACAGTTCAAGTACTAAAGAACAGAAGTATGGAGAACAATAAAAATATGAAGGATACATCGGTTGCATCCTTACCACGAGAACCGTCCCGTGATTCATTGCATCCCGAGTTCGTTATAGGGAGGCAGGCTGGCAAGAATGCTCTTGGCAGGAACACAAGCATGTTGTTTTTGGTTTCGAGAAACACCCAGGATGTTAGGATAAATTAGCACTTGAATTTGCCCTTAGCGTGTGTGTGTGTGTGTGTGTGAGCCACGTGATAGACTGGCATCCCATCCAGGCTGTAACTCTGCTTCGTGCCTTATCCTTCCTGGTGACCCTACATTGCATATGCTGTTTAAAGATTTTTTTTTTTTTGATGGTTTTCCAAACTTTCTATATTCAACATAAATTTGTGTACGGAACATGCATCATATTTCAGAATAAGTTCCATTGAGGATTTGGTTGGGGGTTAGGGGTTAGGGTTAGGGGTTAGGGTTAGGGTTAGGGTTAGGGTTAGGGAGCTGTGTGACGTCAGCCTCTGGTGGTGCACAACCTTAGACATTTCTTCATTTTATCTGTTTGTCAAAGGATTGTTCTTATAATATACAAAACATTTGACGTGACACTTCAAACCGCTTCAGTCATAATGGAAGAATTCGAGTACATAATATGTTAAAATTCTGACTTTTGGTAATAGCACAGTTTGTTCTTGAAGTCCTCAGATGTGACCTCAGATGTGTCACTTTTTAAAGCAATGCTTTGCTCCAACCCCTGGGACAGACTCCAACCCTGATTGTCTACGGGGAGCAAGACACCAACCTGGGAGCTCAGTCCTACAAGAATCTAAGCCAGCTTCCCCGGAGCTCGACGGTGCGGCTGGAGGGGGCAGGCCATGCCTGCTATCTGGACAAGCCCAGGGAGTTTCACCAGGCCCTGCTGGACTTCCTCAGCAAGCTGGAGTGAGAGAGGAAACCAGGGACCAGAGAACGATGCCAGGCGGGGTTTTAGGTGGGGTGGATTTGGACTTCCTGATTGGCTTTGGGATTGGGTGATGATGGGTGGGGTATGGAGCTTATTGACTATGAGGTGAGTATGGTCATTTGGTTGACTATAAGGTAGTGGCCCCAGTTGGAGAGCAGTGTACCTGGAAATTCTGGGATTTAAATATAGCTGGAAGCTGAAAGACACAAAGGGGCAGTGTGATGTAAGCACCTCACCCATCCTGCTTGCCTCTTACAACTAAATTCCTGCATCCCATGCCATAGTGAGAGAAGCCAAAGGAAAGATAATGTGTTCTCAGGTTTGGGTGTAAAGATTCTGTCCTTCCTCTAGACTCTCCGGTTTGTTATAAGCTTCAAATCAACAGTTGCAGTCTTGGTAAACCTTCAAGTGTCGTCTTTGTGTTTACTGTACTTGGAATCTTGTTTAGAAATTTACCTGCTATTGCAGAGTAGCTTTGTTGTACAGTTAGTTAAAAGTGCACGACTTAAATGTAAGAATTATTTCAGTGCTTTCTTATTGATACAGTAGGGCTGTTGACATGTCTGGTTTCTTATTTTTCACATTTTTACAAATAACCTTATTTGCCAAGAAATACTGGGCAGACACAGAATGTGTAATGGAATATTTGGCTTATACTAGATGTATGACCACTATTTATTTATATTTATGTTCAATACAGAGCTATATATATATATATTATAGGGGTTGCATTGTACATCTTTTGCTGTATTTTTTTGCATTTTTCACCATTAAATTAATATTGTAAATATCTGAATAGTGTGTGCATTTTTACTTTACAGCTATTTGTTGTGCTTTCATAAGGTATGGCAGCAAGATATTTAGTCCATTAGAAATCCCCCTTTAATCATGGCAAAGAGTGACTACAGACAGCATGTTTTTTGCCATGTGTGATGTTCCTTATCTTGTACATAGCTGTGTCTTTGGTGATTTTGAAGTGATTTGATTTTATGCTTGTTTTTGAATATTAAGCAAGTACTGGGGTAAGTCTTGTGGGGACTATGAGTATTACTGATTTCCCCATTACTTTGAACACATGCTTGTTTTTGTCAAAATATGTAATTACAACACAAACCATGACACTTTGAAATCGGTGATGCTCCAACTTTGGTTTAGCAGGTAAAGTTTAGATATTCATGATGCAGGGATGGCAAATCTTATCCATAAAGTGTGGGTGTGGGTGTGTATGGGGGTGTGTATGGGATAACCTGGGGTGTTCAAACCCAGGTGTGAGGACCAATCACTTCCAATTAGTAATCTAATTTTGTAGCAAAAACCTGCATCCACAATGGCCCTTTTTGGACCAGATTGGCCACCCCTGTTGTAATGTCTGCATTTAATAGTGTTATAAATTAATGCATACATTTGTCTTTACACACAGAAGTAAAGTTGTACTGTTGAGTTATGTAGGCAAACACCAGTGTCATTCAACAGAAATGTACTTTCTACTCCGTTTTTCAGGAAACTGGGAGACCAGTTAAAAAAAACAAGGGGGGGTGTGTGGCTAATAAGTAATAAATCGAAAGATGCATGAACACCTAATGAACTGTTTAAGCACCTGTAGAAGGTTCACAAGGTTTGTTCAAATGATCTTTGATTTCTTTGTTTTAATAGTTTTACTGTCAATTTCAACACCGACTGCTATATGCCAGCGTAATTGTCACAAGGAATTAGACAATGATTAATTTGCAAACTCTTTGAAAAGTCATGCATGGTCATGTGCTTTCTTCACGTCATTAGTGATTATATGATTTTACTTTACGGATATTGTTGGGTGTGACTGCAGGTTTGGACTCTGACCAAGACTGGAAGTTCTCTGGTTCAAATTCCGTAGGTGGTGTGATCATATCACCTTTCTGAATCTGCTCCTGGTTTGCTGGATAAATGGCTGACCTTGGACTCTGACCCCAGGCTTTGCTCTCACCTGTATATGTGGGTCCAACAGCAGAGTATGATTGGATATGTAAAAACTAAAGAATAATATTGCTACTAATTATTTTGCCTTTGTAATTCTTTTCCTCTTTTTTTTTTCCACATCCCATACTCATTTCACACATCATCATACTTTTCTGTTAGAAACTATAATTATTATCATTAAGGAATATGAAACACATTTTCATTGTACTTTTGTTGATTTTGAGTGGTTTTATATCAGTCAGCGCAGGTATCAGTAACCAGAAAATCTTACTGAACCTTCTTTCAGTTGAGGTTTACTATGCCTTTATTTCCCTTGAAACCTACTGCCAGCCGTGCGATGGTTAAGGAAAACCTTGGGCAATTTGTATGGCAAAGCCTCTTTCTCTGTTGACGTGGGCACCAAAATCGTACTGTCATGGTGGTTTTATTAAGCTGGAACATAAACAAGTTTCCGTGTTTATTACCGCATTTTCACTCCGGACACTAGGTGGCGGTGTTGCGCATCGCTAAGACTCCTCCTACCAATTAAATATACCGAAGGAAAGGAAGTAGCGAGATTTGAAAAAGAAGTGAAGTTTGCACCTATTGTAACTGCGAGACAAGGTACATTTGGACGGGACAACTGTCTGATCGTTTCTCTCTTTGCAGCCTCCGCCGGAGCCGCTTTTTCCGGAGCTCCGCTCGTCATTTGATCCGCAGCTCCGGACCCTGGGGAACAGGTAGCTTAGCTATTGACAGTTCACTGTGACAGTGCTGGACCGCTGCACGCGCCTATTTTTGGCTTATGCCTCCGTACTGGAAGCCGTGCAGCTGGGCTCCTGGTGATATCTGTGCACTTGTCCTTTCGCTGACAGCTCAGAGGAGCGTCCCTCAGGTGAAAGAGGCCATACCTGTACGTATATACTTGCCAGCTCCGCGATGGGTCGCTTGAGTCACAGTGTCTTGTTTACATGCTGTTTTTATGTTTCTTTTCTTTCTCCATGTCAGGATAACTAAGTAGTTATTAAAGCGGTCATTTGTAGTTGCCAGGACATCTGAGGGGAAGGAATAGATTGTTCTCGTGATGGTCCTCTGTAATTCATTGTTTTTATAAATTTATTACGTCTGTTATGCTTGACATTTATGTATATATGTGTGTCACATAACCACAGACGTGGTTAGGCAATCCGGGGTGGGGTGGTGCGGTGGGGGGAGAAGGAGGGGGATCTGCTTAAGCTATTTTTTTCCAGACTGTAACTGTGTATGTGTTGTGTCTATATGGGTATAGACTAGAGGATATAACACTAGTTGCGGTCTGTGTGTGCATTTAGTCTGCTTGGTCCAGTTCTACTGGAGAATCAGTATTAGTGTTATACTTTCTCTTCCACAGTGTGCGTGAACCACACACACACACACACACACACACACACACACACACACACACACACACACACACACAGACACACACACACACGGCATGCTACCAGACAAGGATGAGCCAAGCGGAGTGGGTGGTGGCCAGGCTGGTCCTGTGAGGTCTGAGGATCCTGCTGTCACCCTCTTCAGGCAGTACCTGCGGCTGAGGACTGTCCACCCGGAGCCTGACTATGGTAGGGGGTCTGACACGGGCAGCATGTCCTGTGGGGTTTATCACTAATGGCAGTTCAGAGGCTTGTTAATGATGCACCAGAGCAGCACTGAGCATCAAAGTGTCACGAGAGATGAAGAATAACTGACCATGTAGTTAAACTGTCAAAACTCCAGTGTAGTAACATAGGAAAATGACCCTTGTGAGAAATGTTTCTGGAGGTGAATGACTGCTGAGAAGATGACTAAAGTAAAAATAAAACAACACATTTTTAAATTTCACTCATTACTAAACCATTATTTCAGCTTGTGAATTAAATACTCCTAGGCCTTAAACAATTAGATGCATTTTGCTTATTAAATATACTAACTTTCCCCATTGTGAATAGGTTTATGTATACAACATTCATGTATTTGTTTTCATTTGTGCTGAAAGACCTTTCAGGTTCTGTCAGCTGTTTTTCTTAAGGCGTTGACTGGAACAAACACTTAGATACATTAGGACTCTCAGGCACGCAACTATCTAAAGGGATTTGTTCTGATTGTGTATGCTTGTAGTTTTTCACTGTACCTGCACTGTAATCAGACTATGGAAATAATTTTAATTTAGTTTTCTCACTCAATATTGAACTTTATAGTCATTTGAAGCCTATATTTTTCATAGCTTTCTGAATAATGATAGTGAAACCCCAATTTTAATATATCTGTGATGCACATTTAGATTTCATTATGGAGCAAAGGAATGGATTGCATTCAGTAACTGTTCTGTTGACAGCTAGGATGGTAAGATGATGCTAGTGTTTGTGGAAAGCATTGTTCTGTTAGGTAGTGTGTTATGTTAATGCACTGAACACTGCCTCTAGCTAAGTGCAAGAGTCTCACTTTTCAAGCATTGACCTCTGACCCTCACCTTTTTGCAGATGCTGCGCTGCAGTTCCTGGACCGTATAGCCCTGGAACTGGGGCTCCCCATAAAGAAGGTGGAGGTACTGTACCAGCCCTGTGATCAAGCAGCTTCCATCTATAACCTCATACTGCTCTTGGCGCGCTACCTCACATGGGCAACAGTGCGCAAGGATGTGTGACTGGTGCATGTGGGGTTTCACAGGTCTGCCCAGGGAGGGTAATAGCCATCATAACGTGGACTGGTGCCAACCCTGCTCTGAAGTCGATCCTGCTTAACTCCCACACGGATGTTGTACCGGTGTACCAGGTAAGGCCCCCATAGTTCTTCACGCAATGCCCATGACGCCCAAGTATATTTTACGGACAGATTTAAGAGAACTTAAGAAGTAGGAAAATGTAACGTTTTTATTCAAAGCTGCTTCTCTGTCCCATCTTTCTGTTCCTCAGGAGCATTGGAAGTATGATGCCTTCGCTGCAATCAAAGATGAGGATGGAAACATTTATGGCCGGGGGACCCAGGACATGAAGTGCGTGACCATACAGTGAGTGAGGCATCACAGATCACTGTAGCTATTCCATTTCTACCTCTGATAAATACATCAGTGCCCCTATTCAACCCCAGCTGCTTTCTTTATAACTGCATTCACCAGTCACATGAGCTCTGGTGGCCTTGATGAGTCTTGCCTTTGTCTTCCTCCAGGTACATCGAAGCCATTCGCAGACTGAAATCCCAGGGGAAGACTCTGTCTCGCACTGTCCACATGATGTTTGTTCCAGGTGCGTTCCACCTCACTGCTAAAGCCAGCCCTCAGTAGATGTTATTGGTTAATCAAGCTGCTGTTTAGTCTGTTATTGGTTAATCTGTCTGTCAGCTGGTTTGTGAATGGTTAATCGTTCTCTCAACTAGTCTTTTTATTGATCCACCCATTTCTAAACAGCACATTTTTAAATTCCAACAATTGAAGTAGCGTTCAAGAGCTTTTGCCTTTCCTAAGCTGCAAGTGCAGGGCTATATCAGAGCCGAGACCCCTGAACTAGTTTCTTGCTTTCATCCGGCTGCAGGAGATCAGCATGAACATTACAAAGGGGCCCAAGCATTTTGTTCTGATTTTGTTCTCAAGTTCCTGTGTGTTGATTCTGCCCTCCTGCTTTCAGATGAGGAGGTAGGAGGTCAGAAAGGGATGGAGAAATTTGTGGAGCATCCTGAATTTAAGAAGCTGAATATTGGCTTTGCACTGGATGAAGGTGACATTATTTTTTTTTCCCATGTTCTTGTTCTTGTTGCTTGACATCCAAAGCAAATCGCATTGCATGTACATAAAATATAAACTTAATCACATAACTTAATCACATCTGCCAAAAA